GGTAAGCACGCACGTTAAGCAAGTTAAAAATATGTATATATATATATGTATACATAGCCAAGCAATGCGTCGATGAGAGTTATGTTGGAATATTTCCTTTTCAGTTCAAAGAGTATATTAAAGTATAATTCGTATATTATATATAGATGGATGATTTCTCGTGGGTCGAGTTAGTAATAATGTAAATTTCAATTTTATGCCTTTTTAAAATAGGAAATAATAATTTTAGAAGGGTAAAACAGCTGTTTATTATAGTGTATGACGTTTATTTGAAATGAGTGCATTAACATTGAAACAAATCGCATGTTAATTAAATTATACTCGTTGATGTTGTTTGATAACGAGTTTGAATAATAATTAATAATACCTAATCGATTTCTACATGGTATATACAGGTATATAGATAGGTATTGTGTTGCCCATCAGATGTAGATATGAGTATTAATTTATGAATTTCTTGTACTTGTGTGGTTTTACTATAATAATTACCTTATATTGCTTATATATATATATTACTTTAATAGTAGATTTTTTTAGTAGTATAAATTTGTAAAAGTCGACAACGATATAGTAGTAGTAGTACAGTTGTAAATAACTGTAATATGGTTCTTGAATAATTAAATTTCCTAATAAATTACCAGTTATTGCATAAACACAATGGTTTTGTACTTTATTTTTAAATACAATACTTTGTTTTAAATGCTAAAACCGAGATTGGGTTTTGACAAATGCCTATTTAACGTTAACTTAGCCTTTATTGGAAATATTTCAGTTGAATGTATTCGTTTCTATGTCGAACGCGCATCTTATTATGTTAAATGTCTGTTTTTATTGGATTTTTTTGGGGTGCTTTAATTTAATTTCGATCATCCTATTTTGTCTGTCTTGTTTCGTTGTAGAGACCACCGCAATGAAGTCAGCTATTTTGTGTTACAAATTGACAGATTGACAGTTTATTACACTTTCTATTTAGGGGATATTACCCGGGGCAGACATAAAGCAAAAATAGTTTCTTTTTTTTTTGCTTATATTCTTCCTACGGCCCACGTCGGGGTCCAGTAGCTAATACAATATTTATTTCACGAGTAAAATAAATATATCAATTCTTCTTACTCTTTTGTTCTTTGCGAGACAACAGAATGCTTCTGAAAGTATTTGTTCACCTTTCCGCCTTGATCTCTGCTGCTGAGAAACACTCGCTTATAGTCTTCTACTTGTGCTGTGATTACATTGCTGTTTACTTGCTTATTTCCCTGAACAAACTCTCCTGTAAAATTGACCATGATCATTATACGATTTTCAAATAATTATAATATTTATTGGCCATCAGTGAATAACGTTTTGGAAAAAAGTATAATAAATGTAGTCAACATATATAAATATAACACCTTAAGTACAGTTGAGCCTCGAGACAAAACGGAAACGGAAAATCTTAATTTATTTATCTATGGAGCGTCGTATAGTTTCCAGATAAATTATTCATCATTATATTATGTAGATAGCTGCAGTCTGCGAGTAGAGGATTGGGATTTAGAAATTTAATTAAATTTTCATCCGTTTCGAGCTGTTCAAGCTGACAATTATCGTCGACGATTTTCTTATACCTATAGGTAGGGACGAATGAGGTGGTCTGTTTGTTGTGAAAAGGAAGAGGGTATAGGTATATATTATAATATTGTCTATTTAAACGCCACACCAACATCAAAGTCCACCGCTGCTGCTATAATAGAGACCGTGTCTAATCAAACGGGCCATCGCACACGATTTCTTAGCCGAATTTCCGTGATACCCATCGTCTTGCTCCTCCTCTTCCTTCCTGTTACCGTGAGCTCTAATAACACGGTGTACACCATTCTGTACACCGCAGACGTTTCTATACTTAGGCCAACAACTTACATATTATATATAATTAATGAAGGGGGGCGAGGATCTTGGGAATTTTAATATATTTAAACGGTTCCTTTCTTGACAGGTACAATAATATAGCGATAATGATCTTCCACGCTGGCGCCTGAGCCGAGCAAGTTTTTTTAGAATATTTGCCATTTTTTTTAAACCCCAATTCAAAGGTGTTTAAACAACGACCCAACCAAATAGGTATATACAACCTTACTCAAAGTTTATTTTCCTACTTGTGATATTACACCGACCTTTATTGAAATTTCTGTCTCGACAATCCGTTGTCTGTGCTGCTCTTCTTCTAGGATGGTGATAATAATAATAATATATAAAATTCCACCATGTGCACCATGCTATATTATAATAGCGCTCGACTTTATATGCAAGGCTGGCAGTTATAGTAGACTTGATAATAATAAAACGTCTACGGTTCTTCGATAACACCGGCTGATCGTTAAATTTTATAGTTTTCTTTTATTGTTTTATATTATTTATTATTATATTATCAACAGACACCACGAGTAGATTTAACGTTTAGTAAAAAAAAAAAAACTAGCTTCGTTTTTTGCAGCAGTCTACCTGTGTAAAATCCCCAAGTAGTTTACCAATGTGTTATTGTTGGGAAAGCGTTTTTCAGAGGGGACCGCTATATTATTTGAAAACTTGGTCAATTTAAGTCTGGGAATGTTGATAAGACCACTGATTTACCACTTGTAGTACTTTATGGTCGATGGCGATTATAGCTGTATTAATAGGTACATATGTAAGCACAATCGTGTGCATTGAGTAGACCCGAGGGAATCAACTTGTTTAGTGTACAGCATATATGGATATGACGACTCGAATTTGTTTCCAAAGTGATGCTGCTGATAAAGTACAGCAGCTTGCCTTATCAGATAGAACAGAGTTTATATACTTTTAACGTGTGGGTGTTTTACAATACACTGTTATGTGGAGGTGTGTACCAGTAGTGTGAGCATACGTGAGAACCCTATCAATGGTATCTGATATTATATATTATAACACCGTCGAATGAATTCCATTATTCACTCACAACAGTATAACACTATATATTGTATAATTTAAATTAATTATTTTTTTATAATAAACTGTTGGTGATATTCAATGGACCTGGAGTGTTAATTGAAATGATCTATATATATATATATATATATATGTATATGTATATAAGCTGTTGGATGTAACACTTGTTAATAAAAGAGAGAGAGAAAAAAAAAGGAAGAGTTTGCTGTATCTTTTCACAGTCTATATGATACGTTTATCTTATATATAGCCTTTTACATTATTACACACAACCGACAAAACCTTTTACAATAACTACATTTGTGTGTGTGTGTGCACTTTACCGAGTGATTTTTTTTTTTACCATTGTATGGATTTGGTCGGTCGGCCATAACTTAATGTGACTTGATCCGGACAAAACGGATAACGTGGTACATATTATATTATACACTATTGTAGTCGGACAGTTGAACATTATTCAATAGATTATTTAGCTGAAATTTACACCAACACGAAATTAGTTATCATTCGACTAGTTATTGTTCAAATGTTTTGTTTTCCGACTCAGTTTTCAAGCACATTTTGGCTTTAACCACGTTGAAAGGAAAAACTTACATATTATTATATGAACTCATAATGAAATACCGGTTTTTATCTCACCAGACACTTTAGGCTTGACCTCCACACGGTCGCCGACAAACGCGATCTTGACCCGTTAACGTGAAAAGAGTAATATTTTCATCTAAAAAATAAAATAAAAAATACCGTGAGAAATAATATAATTCTTAGTACGTGCTATGATGCATGTATTTTTCGCAAGACAACCGCGCCAAGAAGGATAACGAGTGGATTATCTACCTTATAGTTTAATTATAATGTCACTCGGCTGTCGTACATGTTTTATTGGCTATGATAATAATAATATAGTGCAAAAGTATAATAACTGTATACTTGACGTGCTACTTTCCAACGACGTCTACGGTTTTACAAGTTAAGTTGATAGCGCAGAATCACAGATGTGTATATATATATATATGTTATTTCATACACACACAAATCCCACAAAAAAGGTATTATATATATATATATTAGAGTGGTCCTTAAAAAGCTGTTTTCAAATTTTAACCTCGACGCCCTTAAAAAAAAAAGTAAAAGAAAATAAACAAAAAATAGGCGTTTTTTTGGTAATTTTTTTAGCTAATTTTCAAACAAGAGAGAACACAAAGAGATGGGGTTGTTTTGCGTTTTATATTAAAGAATATATTAATTTCGACTTATATATAGATATATATATACGACTGATTTAAATACACTGATTTTTCCTCCAATGTACGTTGTTATCAGTGTCCATTCTGATTTATCTATATTTCTGTGATAAGAAGTTTGGCAGTCGATCCACGTGCTAAGGGTAGTCCTGTATGAAATTTTTCATATTTTACCAAACTACAACAATTGGGTCAGACCAAATGTCCAAATCACAGATATATGTATAATAAACAAGATTGCTAATTGTACATGCCGCCAATAGAGAAAATTAAATTTGCCACTGTTCGTCATCTTTGTGGGAATTAGGACCTCGTCACATTACAATATTATAAGCCGTCGATATATATAAGGTTATAATGGTTAAATTGTCGTTTTATAAGGTTGCCTTATAATTTACAATAATAATAATAGACAAACTGTGTTGATCTGAAAACAAATATTTTTTTATTTTATTATTTACATACAAACCTAAAAACAAATAAACGACAATTTAAAGTCTATTATTTAATTGTCTATTGATTTAATATAATAATATATATATATATATATATATATATATATATATATAGTGTAATACACTAATACTCGAGTCATCCTATCTGTTATCCACCTGTTGTACGATAAGCGTTCGCTACAGATATTGATAACAGATAACATGACTTGATAACAGATAATATGACTTGATAACAAACCAAAGAGGGGGCTATTAAGAGGTACATCTCCTTTACATAAATATACATAATATATATGTATAAATTATTCACATCTGTGTAGATTTTTGTTGTACTCAATGTTTGTTGTTTTGTTTGCAGAATGCCAAACAGCCGTCGACGCCGCCGACCATCGAGGAGCTGACCGGCGAGGAAATGCAAACGGCCCGCGCCTGCCAAACGTCATGCCGGAGCTGTCGCCTGGCGCACTGTATGCCACCGACGACGCCGCGTCCACCGCCTTCGGTGCCGCACGGTGACCGCAGCCGGCGCCACTGCTGACCACCACGGCCGCCGCCGCCGCCGCCATGACATTTTTGCTGAAGAACCGGCGCCTGGCCGGACGCCCGTTTTCGGTCAAGCGCTGCGTGGCCGCACTCATGATGGTCGGCTTCCTGTCCATATTCTATTACACGCACTATCTGAGCTCGCCCATCGCCAGGTAAAAACCTAACCGTATACTGTCCAATAGTCTTCTTACCTAGCCCTCATTCTTGAACAGTCAACGACAATACACGATATAAACAGCCGACAACACCAACTGGATATTATTAAAAATACACACTTACCACTCTCGTGCCGGGTTCCATAAACTCGTTTGACTGGAGTTCAAATAAATTCTGTCGCATAAACCGTGGTTTTTAATTTTAACTGTTGTTAAAAATGTAATTCATCACTATAGTTAAAGTACAGGGTCATTTATCGCTGTGTATAAATGTATGTATAGTTAAATTTTGTCATCAATGTTTTGCGTTAAAGTGGTGATAATGGAAATGCGCGTTATCAGTTTATCATTGATAAGACCCTGTATGATAATAATATTCACTCCTACCAGCTGATACCATTTATTCGATAACCAGTATACCGGTAATAACCTGAATTTAAAACAACGTTTGGTGCAACCGGGCATTAATGTTAGTTGACAATAAATTCATTTAAACTTATAATTTGGCTAAATTAAGTAAGTTTCATCGCATAACAATATTATTATTAAATTCTATTTGTCAAGTTAACAAAACGTTAATTGGTAGCTTTCAAAGCGGTTACCTTGATTCCAACGTTCTCATTTGTTATCACAAAATGCGATAAGTGATAATATTATAATCAAATTCCAATTAGTAGTTTATAATTCGATCTATGGCACTTTAACATGCCAATTGACTTTTTAACAAGCTGATTTTACACCTTTTTTTATAATACATGTATTTACTTAAAAACTATATTTAGGTAGATTATGAGTATACGACTGCAATCCTTGTCAGTTTTCAATATAAACGAAATGGTGAATATAGAAAAAAACAATTAACTCTTATCTCGAGATGATTTAGTAAGGGGTAAATAATAGGCGATATTTGACAAAAATTGATCTAGTAGTAGTTGTCCATCTGAATTGAAACATCAGCTAGGGTTTGACAACAACAGCCCATATTATCTAAATTATTTTAGCTATCATATTTAAAGAAATGTGGCCACTGATAAAAAAAAAAAACTAGGAACACGGATCGTTCGGGTCCGTGCATTATACATGTATACTTGGCGGTATAATAAAAACATCAATACCTAAAGAATAACCGGTTATTCGACGGGATGATGGTCTAATGGACTCACACACTGGTGAAATGGTCAAAAAAGTGAATTTCTCGCAGTCGGTAGGATTCGAACCTACGCTCCCAGAGGGAATCTGATTTCTAGTCAGACGCCTTAACCGCTCGGCCACGACTGCCCGATGACTGCACTTGCACAACGTTATGCATTTAAACTTTATTTATGTATAATATTGCACCAAACTAGTCGTTATCTATTGGTAAATTATTTATCACCGTGTAATAGACTAACTTTTGTTAAATTTACTAGCGTTGCTAAAACGTTGTTTTATATTCAGGTTATTACCGGTATACTGGTTATCGAATAAATGGTATCAGCTGGTAGGCGAGTTAATATTATTATCATACGGGGTCTTATCAATGATAAACTGATAACGCACATTTCCATTATCATCACTTTACCGCAATATATTGATAACAAAATTTAACTGTACATACATTTTTACACAGCGATAAATGACCCTGTAATTTAACTTTAGTGATTTTAACAGAATTTATTTTAACCACCGTTAAACGAGTTTAACTCTGTGTAAACATTTGATGCAATCCGGCATAAGTATTTCTTTTGAAACATATTAGGATTAGTATACAAAAAAATTAAAACAGTTTCTCGCATGTCGAGAATTACTATATTATGTTGGTTTCTGACGCGAAATAGCTGTTATTTTCTATAGTCGGATAGGAATTATACGGATACTTACATATTATATTGAATTATAGCTGGTAATAATAGCTGACCAACTACTGCATTACTGACCGTAGTGCGGTGGCGTTTCTGTGTAAAACCTTTGAATATTTCATTTTGTGTCCGATTCGGTTTTAAGGGAATAGTCACGCGAAAAGTTACCTAAAAAAAAAAAGAAATCCTGCTGTTAATTGATCATCAATCATGTAAGAGATTCGCTTTTGAAATTGTTTATTTTCATTTCATTAGTTTTATTCGTTCCTTGCATACCGTACCGCGAGAACACAATGAATCAACTATTTTTTTATACTTTACATCAATTTCAATAGTGACGGGAATCCAAAAATCCGGATTTTCACAAAAAAAAAACGCTATTTAAGCCACTTAAAAATCTTATAAATATTGTTACAATACACAACTGTGTACCTAAAAGCTAAGTTCAATGTTTTGATGGAAATTAAACAAAAAAAAAACGCTTATTTTGACTATAAGTGGCTTTCAAGAAATCTAAAACCCAAAAGCGATTTATCTTTTTAGTGCTTACATTTTCATAAAAAATATTGCACTTAGGCACACAGCTTTATATTGCAAAAAAAAACATATTTAGTACTTTTACAATATTCTTCTGTGGCTTAATTAGTTAATTTTTTTTTTTGAAAATCATTAATTTCAATAGGTATATCATATTACTTGTTGATATAAAATATACTGTATTGTTGAGTTATTAAAATATTTACTTAGCGTTTTGTGTTTGTTGTTTCGCCTGACTTTGTTTACATATTTACATAGTTTTTATGCGTTTGCTTGTAGTAAAAACAAATATTTTAATAAATTAATTCAATAACGCTGCAAACAAAATACCATCACCGTGCACATATTATTAATATGTAATTTATTGTTACAAGGATATTGTGGATTCACACTGCAATCGCAATACTCTACTAAACATTTTTTAATAATAGTATAATACTAACCTATTTTTTATGGTGTAGGTTTCCACTTTATCAGCTAATAAAAATATCTATAGTAATAATAATAAAAAAACAGCGATATGGCGCGCATTGCATACCGGCAAATCTCTGCTAATAAACAGAGTACAATGAGAGAGAGCTTTGATCTATATATTATTATTGTTGTACATTACTCATATTGAAAACTTTTTTTTTTTTTTGGTGCAAAAGCAACGCGCGTGATCGAAATGAAAATGTTGTTGTGCAGTCCCTATATCGCGTGCAAGCATAGCACAGAAAACTAATATTTATTTTAGAACGGTAGTTAATAAAAAATAAACAAATATATTACCCACCGAGGGAAGATAAATACAATTTAAAAAAAGAGGAATTTTTTATCCGGCAAAATAAATATATTACAACAAGAGTCGGTTATTGCGTTAGTGTAGTATTTGGAATCAATAAAATACCTGTAACCTTTAATATTTAAAAGGCCATACCACCTTGAAAACCTTTTTTTTTCCATGCATTTCCATCATATATTGGAAATTACATAATTATATAGGTGTACATGTTTTTAAGTTGATTGATGGGCAAAACGTGCAACGAAAACCAAAAAAAAAAAAACGATATAGGCGATTTTACTATAGACCAAAAAAAAAAAAAAAAAGGCCCAAAACTTTTAAAAAAAAAAAGGATTAATTGGTAAATTTTAGTTTTTTAATCATAGAAAATACACAATCTGTACAGTTTAGAACAACAAGTATATGTGATGATAATAAAAAAAGTAAAAACATATAATAAATTTCATAAAGAAGTCACCCGTTGGTGACACTTAAATTTGATAATGCAAATTATAGTTGAAAGAAAAACATTTTAACTGTATTTTTGTGATTCCTACCAATCGATACAATTCTAAATAATGAGATTTTCAGTGAATTTAACGGAAGATCGTTTGTTAAAACAACCAATTGTAATTGTTTAAAAATTCAACAACCAATAAGTAGGTATTAATTTTAGAGTGAACAAGTCTTTCATAGTAGGCTTCCATTGTGATGCTTTGAATAAAAAACCAATCCCTTCTAGAGCTAAACGTTAACCCTGATAATTGTCTAAAATATTTTGTAGGTGGTTAAGTTAACGTTTGTTGTTTAAATCTATTTTTGTATTAGCTATCGTTTGTGAAAAGTATAAAGCTTCAAAATTAATTTAAAAATAAGGTGTACAATGAAGTTAATGTACGATGAAGTTTTTATTTATTTATTTAACTCGTTTAATATATGGCATTGTAAAAATGGAAAAAAAAACAACAAAAATAAAATGTATGTCTGTGTGTGTACACACAAAATAAATGACTTAATTATTTTGAACCTAATATTAATTTCCTGTAGTTAAAAAATTTTAGTCGCATTACATGTTATAATATGCAACGGACGTGTCACTCAGTTGATTAGCTGTTCTTTTATGAATCATAATAACCGTATTAAATCTAGTAGTTTTTTTTTGTCCCCGTCTCTAAAATTGGACCCTTACCCGAGACAGGAAAATGTCTTTGCCAAGACACTTAATTACTCGGACACGTATATTATATGCTGTACAAAAATCGTGTAAACAACTTAAATAATGTAGTTCACGACTGTGGTGTGTGTGTAATTGATATGCCAACAGGATTGTTCGTCAAAAAACTTGTCAGGAGTCACGACCGAAATCATATATCTCCTATGTGTGTAATCCTATTATCTCATATCCTATTCAAATAACTCATCTTAGCGTCGCAGACATTTTTATTGTGTTTATTCTTCGACTAGACACGATTTCCATTAGCATATACTATAGACTCAGCTGTACCGATCAAAACAATTTCTTTTTGATTCTATCCAGCTACCCGTGTGACATGTGAAATGTAAAAATACACTATTACACTCCATTCAATGATCATGAATAATTATGTTCAGATAAACTATATATTAACAACGCATTTCAATCGGTTTGTTAATTTAATAATAGACTATATTTAATATAATGATTACACGCTGTTGACCTCTTCTAAATCCGAAACAGTGTATTTGATAACGTTTATCTTGCTTACATTATTCAGTGTTGTATTTAAATGGACATTTAAAAAGTTTTACATCACTTAACTAAACCCCCCCCCCCCTTAACGTTTCAACAGCTCAAATTCGCCAATGAACGTTTGATCAATTTTGCACTCTAAAAATCTAGAACTTAGTTTTAAAGGTCTCGTTATCTTACTTAACGTTTCCATTGAAAAAGGACTGAATGTCAATGTGTTAGTTTTGTGCGCGCCAATAAATTAATTAATTTCGCCAAACAAAAGTGTAAAGTTAAAAACTGTTTTTTCTTTTCTTGTGAAGACATTTTTGGGATAAAGGCGATTTTTATCTGTTTCTGCGCTCTCGATGCGTCCAAATCAATGGTGTCGGTTTTCTTTGGAACTCACAAAAGTTTTATTGGAGATTACAGAAGAAAAGTGCACAGCTGAATAAATTGGCAAAATATTTTTATTAATGGGTCCAACCGTCAAAGGCGTTTTGAAATGTTCAAAACTGTTTGATAAGTTATAAAAGTATGCAAATTAGGTATTTACCGAAATAAATTATCGGTATATATAAATAAAATTAAAAAAATAATATATCTAAGACCGTTTTAATTTATACTATATTTATACTTCAGTAGAGTTTCACAAGTATATCTTTGAGGAAAAATATATAGTTATGAACTATGGAATACAGAAATACAATTTAAAAAACATTTCAATCAAAACGAACAAAAACTCTTTGTTGTTTCAGCTTCACTTTATCGTCACATAAAGTTGCAATATTTATGATTTATTTTTTTATAATATCAAATTGGTTCAACCAAAAACAGCATACACTATGTCTACGAATATTGTTGTATTAGCAGCTGTCACCGCAAAGAGGTACCTATTATAATGGGTTTCTTGATTAACTAAGAATTCTCTATTCTCTTTGTAAATGGCTTAATAATAGACTATTATACGCCAATCGTCCCTAAAGTTTTATATTTGATTTTTTTGTATTTTCTGACAAAGAGTAACGGTATTACTTTAAGCGTTAGGTATATATTATTTAGATGTAAAACTGTATAGCTACCTATGACGTGCAGTGTACAATACTTGTGTAAATACACAATATGTAATAAAAAACATGTTACTAGAATGTGTGCAAGACATGTCATGTTAAGTTTCGCATCTGTTATTGAAAACTTGACACACGTGTAGGAGTATATGCGACTTCCACATGAAAATGGAAAACTCTGTATAAAGCGTTATACCGTTTTTTATAAAAAAAAAAAATACTTCTGTCTGTATTTTATTGTTTTTTAAGTTGTTCTCGTGATATGCACTATATTATAAATAGTCTTCTATGTATTATTGAAGAACACATTTCACCCCTCAGCTTGGATTAATAACAGAAAAGCTATTATTCGTCACGTGGAATATTTTTAACATTATTAACTTTTTGGTACAGTTTTGTGTACTTACTTAATTTTAAATGTCCAAACGAAATATGTACTCTTAGGTAATTTTTAAAACCTAGTGTGTCAATGATGAAACGGTCGTTGATATGATGTTCAAATTTAGACATTAAAAATGGATTAATGTTCTATGAAATAGTATGTGCCGTTAATTTTCATAACACATTGCAGTGTGTTGCTGTACAAAATGAATTTTTAACGCGCACACGACGGTAATCAACAATATTATAATTATTAGAATACTAATTAATATTTATTAAATTCGGCATCCGTGCAATGTCTAAGTGCATGAGAAACACCGTTGTTGGCGTTCACATTGTTGCACATAGTAAATTAATTCATTAAACAGACAAATCTACATCAAATTTTTTCTGCTCAGTCTACTACAACGTTATTGATTTTAAAAATTATTCTTTTGGTACTATATGCATATATACAGTCACAGTACAGTAATGAAAATCCCTTTGGCTTGTTGTATGCTATTTGTTTTGTTATCCATGACGTCCAGTCGATGTCAGCAAATTAATAAGCCAACTCGCCCCGTACAGGAAACATCAACCGTGTGTGGTGTTTAATTTCATTACTATAGGTATGTTATAATACAGTTTATGGTATGTGTAATAAATGCACAACGGATACATACATAATTGAACCGCACCACTAATGCGTGTAATGCGCAAATTAAGTAGCTATTGACTGCTATATATATTATTGTGATATGTTGTTGTGATATTGTCGGCCCAAGGATACGGTTTTTGATTGCGTTTGGCACCTAACTGGATAGAAACAACAGCTGTATCGTCCATTGGCCATGACATTATATGAATACACAGTAATTTACACTAATCATTATATATCATACAATTAACTGAGTCGTGGAATTCATCGTTATCATTTATTTATCTCATCTCTTTTATTTTTTCTACATGATTCATAAGCAAAATATTTTGCGTCCAATGTGTTTATACACTATGTATACATTCAAGTGGCACTATATTTGCTCAACGCTTGTAGTTTGAAAAGAAATCTAAAAGTGTGCTTATACCTATTTGCTATTGGTATTATTATGTTCTACAAATATTATCTATTCCGCAACAGCGCGTGGTAACATTTTTTCACCTTATTCAAAACGTATTACCTGTTTTTACAAAATCTGAGTTAAGTCCACAGCTTGACTACAAATTCTCCATTCTATTTGGCGGTAAAGATATATAAGTGCATATTGTTCATCATTTGCTCTGTGATCTGGTAAACGCCATATGGATATAAACTTTGAGCTTGGTTTTCTCGAAATCAATCAAATGTATAGATCTGTAATTATGTAATCTTCTGTTTAAAAAAAATTATTAACATTTATTTACAGCCGTTTTCCCACCACGCTCTGCGTTGTAAACATGCGAAATTTATGAAAAATATATTTAAATTTTTAGCTTCGATGCGGAGCTGAGAAGGTATTGTTTTTACAATGATGTGTTTTTATTATTATTTTTTTTTTTGTGTGTCTCATATCTCGTAAACCGCTGAACCGATTTCTTCGTGTAGCAACTCTATAGATCAGAAATCATACCTGGAAGGTACTTTTACGGGCCAAAAATTAAAAAAAGTCACCCCTTCCCTATTAAAATCGAGAAAAACACCTAAAAAATGTACACATTTTTCAACTTAAAATTACGATGTTCTATAACTTTTTTTAAAATAGTCGAAAATGTACCAAATTTATATGAATTGTTCTTCAAACATAGTACTATCGATAAACATTAACAAACCAAAAAAATATGATAAACCTTTTCCCTTAGAAGGGATAGAATTGTTTTCTCAAAAATCTGTAGTCAAATTTTTCTTTTTATTAAGGAAAAACCCCAAAAATAGGGTAAATTTACACTTTTTTGGCCGTAGTCAGTTTCTAGGTTGCTATGTGTGTGGGAATCAACCGTCAACAGGTAATGAAAATATTTTCATTATACTGTTAATTACGATGTATGGATAACTATGACAGTACATTTTTATAGACAGACGATCAACTGTCTTATCGTATCCACCCTGCACAAGACTAAATATTAAATTTTAAGTACCTTAACGCTGGTCCCGCGATATCTTCTAAACCGCTATAACTGGTTTGAACATACTATCCACAGATTCGCATCGAAGCGTTTATTTTAAAAGTGATTTTATCACTTTCAGTTATAGTAAAATCTGTAGACCTGTGACCTCTCCGTCCCCACTATGCCCCGACCCCACCACTGTACTGGGTTTTTTTTTTTTTTTAATTTTTGGTTTTTGGTTTTAAAATTTTGTGTATTTTGTGTTATGTTTAGTCTGTTGATGCGACGGGATCGCAAAGTGGTCAGAATGCGACCCTATGACATGTGTCCTCCGTTTCAATCCAGACCGCCAACGGACCACAGACCACCTTACCAGCAACCAGGTCATCCCAGGACTGATTCCAAGCTGTTGTTGCTGGTCGAGACTGCATACTCGAGGCTTGGCCGGGAACTTGCCGAGACACTGGTGCACAATAGGCTGAGGTGATTTTTGTACATTTTTTAATACATTTTCAGGTTTTTTTTTTGCTGTAATTTATTGCAACTACACGCGTAGGAGGAAAACAGTTCTCTCGAGAAAAGAATTGATATTTTATTCACCAAACTTCTTCGATTTATTTCGGGGAGGTAATACTACTTTTTTCTCTGCCACTACTTTTTACACGACATTTGGTCTACGCACCAGAATTTTCATCTAAGAAAGTTGTACAGACATTTTTAATTTATTAGTAGTGGTGTGTAAAGCTATTTTTTTTACATGTAAACGTTGCAAACCACGTTATACTCGGCAATAGTATATACTACACGGATGTACAATTAACTGTTGAAACCTCTTAAATAAAACAATCTTTATTTGCCCATAATGTATTCCAAGTCTAACGATTATAGAAAAATTGGTTCTATTTGAAAACCATATTTCGATTTCCTCCGGTTTATAAAGCTTTCTTTTTTATATAATGTTTGATAACAGCATGACGTTCAATAAGAATTCCATTACCGTTTAAAAAAAAAACATGAGTTTCCTATTTGTTTTCTTTTGTACCTACATTTTGTTTTTTTGTCACAAAGAGTACATAATGTTATGTTTACTGTGCAAAACAAATAAATGACATTTTACTACTTTACATTAAAATTTGAATAAAGTTTTTAGACTTCCTCGAAAAAAAAAAAACGAAAAACTATTAATCGTGGTACAAAGAAAAGTTGCTTTCAAAAAAAATGTTATTTGGTCGCTTGTCCTTGTTATTTTAGTTTAAAACAAAACTTGTTCGACCAGAGAAGCTTTTTTTGTTGATTAATATAGTCTTTAATTAGTTTATTTACACCATTTAAGATGCATTAAAAATATGTAGTATTAGTTTGATTATGATGAGTTTAAATCGTTTCCTGGATCGACAATAGCCCTTTAAAATCTTTGTACAAATTATTATTTTTCTACCATCTAATACTATGTGTGTTATCATAGATAAAAAAAACCTGATATGTATGTAACATTTACCATTTATAGGCACACATCGAAGGGCGGTTTCAGTTACAAAAAAAGTTGCTAAAAACCTTTGCCTATCCCACTTTTCAGATATATGCTTGTTTTTATTATTTTTCGGTAAAAAAATGTCATTAATTTAACCATTTTTTTATACTCACAATGTGGTTGTATTGAAAATAGTGCGTTGCTTTGGGCGGTGAACTATTCACGGTTGTACCTGACGTGCAAGGGACTGGAAAATCTCGAGAAAACTTCTTAGCCACATTGTACACACATTATATTATGCCATATTAATATGATATAAGTCGGGTGGAATTTCTTTTGAACCCGTTCTGGCGCATGTGAGCAGAGTTCGAAAGCCCGTGTATAATGTCGGGGGCTGTTGTGTGTGTGTATTTGGTTAAGCAGAAATTTGCAATAATCCCTTATTCCATCAGCTGTATGGTTTTTAAAATTTTTATTTTATGCGCACCTTAAGTGCTTGTTTCCGGTCTATGCGCTTTACTTAGATCTTAATGCGTGCACGTGCATCCGCATAGACGCATCATTGATAAGTATTGCGTCACTAATTTTCATACAATAATGTGTCGACCCGGTTTTTAATGCTTCGGCGGAGTACTTAGAGAGAGTGCATGTACACACACACATTTATATACATATTATATGTTATATACTCGGGTAGTAAAGGGTGAACGACTGACTTGGGCGTGAACTACTAGTAAAAGGTGCCAGCCGAGTGTACCTAGGTATACCTATATACTTGAAATTATACCGTGGACCTTAGTCGAACTGTACATTTGTTAGTTGGACATTAAACGGCCGACAAAAAACCATTTTCTTTTCTTTTATTAGAAGATGTATACTTACTACACTAGAGACCTCTAAGTGTATTGGCAAAAACATACAAAATCGCCTACGGCGGTTGAATTTTGTTCAAAAAGTCACTTACAAAGTCTGTTGTTATATTATGTGACACAGTTGAATTACTCGTATCCGCTATATATTCAAATCCGAAGTGAAAACATTAAACTTTCACAGCAATAAACTTTACCAATTTCGGTTCGAGTTTCTCGGCTAAATAAAAAAACGTTATAAAAATGTTTTACATCTAAAACATTTTTTAAGCGTTTATTTATATGAAATTTCAACGATGAAACCGGTGAATTATGAATAAATCATTTTTCGCGTTGCTCAAATTTTATAACTTTATTACACTAACGGTTTTTTTAATATTTTCTCCCCATAGCAGAATATAACTAACAATGTTCGGCTTATAAATTAATTTTTGTTTAATCGAAAACAGTGTATACATCAACCACTGCAATCGACAGCTGAAAAGTTTGTTGTGCTTCATAATAATATAGTATGTGTATTTTAATTAAAAAAAGTACCGCACATTGTTGTTCACTCTTCGGTATCTAGGTCGGACGACGGTGGGAACGTCAGGTGATTATTGTGTTGTGTATAATATATATATATATATAGTATATAATCCTACGGGAAACAGAAATGTTAACAGTTTAACCCTCCTGGGGGTGGGGAGAGAGGGTAGTAATGAATTATGGAAATTGTCGGTTTTTTTTTGGGAGGGTTTTTTTTTTTTGAAAAGCGAGTTATAATTATTATATCTCGGCAAGTGTCATATCGTTGAGCGGTCACGATGATAATATAATATGTCTGCTAATCATTTTGCATAGCATCAATCAAAACCCAAAACCCCCAGGGTGCTCCTCTAGGATTGCGTTTATACGGTTATGGGCGTAAGGAAGGGATGAATGGGCAACCGTAGGGGAGGGTGCTCAAAAGCGGTCACGCGGATACAACTTTGTCGGATGATGTGAACTTTGTTATGAAACTGTCAAAGTTTCAACCCTTTTGTGGCGGTGTTCGTGTGTGAACCAAGTCCGGACGAACGGCAGCAGCCCCTTTCTCGCGTACGGGATCAACAACGTACAGGGTTTTACCACCACCGCAGTCTTTGTCGTTTAGCCCACTTCCTCTGAACAATAGCCAACCTTTTCCGGTTAAACGCCGCACACACTAGATTATCAATTAAAATCATTATGAACGCAATAGCTGTATAGTATAGTTATAGTAGTACGCATACACAATAACAGTTATACGATTATCGTGCTATTTTAGAAATTTTATACTTGGCAAAAAAAAAAATGGGTGTAAAATGTTTAAAAGAATGTGTCTTTTTTTTAAAAATAAATTAATGAGTGTCATATTTGAAATTACAAAAAAAAAGGGCTTAGAGGTGCCCTCGATAATGTTGTTTTTTTTCGTTTTGATTACAAGGATTTTTGCTCAGTAAGCCGTATTTTTGGATCTAAAAAACTAAATATTTATGGAAATTCAACTCCCAAAAAAGAGTCTTAATTAGTGAACTAATAATTACATCACAGTTTAACCTTGTGAGTTAAGATTTTGTAAAAAATTGCCTATACTTTACTCTTTAAAATGGGCTGCGCTGACGTCCTCTTAATAAGAGGATTGCACGCGGTCTGTGCTTAAAGAGTTTTTTTACAGGCAATATTTAAGAAAAAAATGGTTTTAATCAATTTCGACCGTGTCAATTAATTTGTACAAGTTTCGAGTAATTGTTTTTAATTTATATATATATATTTTTTCCTATGAGCATAAGTCATTTTGGCCTGTTTTTTGTGCATATAGTGAAAATAAATTTAAAAAAACTGTTTAAAAACGTCAATGGTAATATTTTTCTTATCTGATATATAAAATAAGTTTGCTGAAGCGATAGGGTAGGGGTAGGGGGGAGCAGCGATACAAGTTAAATCGCTTTGATACGTTTACACATCAGTGATTTATTTGTCGTGCTCAGTCAGATTATCCAGAAGAGGAGGCAAGGGGGAGCATCCGGAAAAAAGTTTTTTTCCCGTCCGAAGAAATAGGAATCGGTATTAGAAACAATTTCCGGCGACTATAAATCAGTTTGTCCTGTTAAAAAAAAAAAATATTCTCAAAACGTGTCCCGGATCCCAGATATTTGCCTAGGACTGTGCATCCCATTTCAAAGTCTAAGTACTGATGAAACGCCACGCAGAATAGTTAATAATAATACAGAATGCACTAAATAACAGTGTATACAAAATACAGGGTGAACCACCCAATACATCCCAGGTAATAACCATAAGAAATTGTAATTTTTGTTTCCCTACCCCCCCCCCTTCCAACTTAGTTTTTTTTGGTAACTTAATACGGTAAAGCCACATACATGCCACACAGAGAATGATAACCCTTTAAAATAGCGTTTCTCGTCCACGAGTGATATACCTAGTTGTGTCGACAACGAATTTTTATAAAACTTGCGAATGTAATGATTCAATAGATAACATAATATTATTCTTATGTATTTTGTATTAAAATCATTTTTACATTATAACCGTATTACACTACACATCATTACAGACATTAGTAATACTTCCTGTTGAATGGTTCTCGCTGTCATTTGCCAAATGTTGGAAAAATGCAATGAATTAAAAATGTAATGTCAATAATAAGCCGTTGTAACAAATAGCATGTACTTAGGTTATGTCATGTTCCTACTGCGATAGTTAACTGCTGAATGGAAGACTTTGCGTTACTTGCTAATTACTGAAATAATTGTGTACTGTTTATCATAGTTTATATTTAAAAAAAAAAAAACGAAACCTCGCGTGGGTTTTTTCAAAGCGGTTTAAGTATAGCAATGTGAAAACACCCACGTACATATTTTATTATAGAACATCAAAGAAATTGGGTCAACTGTGTTTGATTTTTTTATTCAACAACTTATCATAAACATTATTATAATTTTGATGAACTAGTATCTTCTTTGATACGCGTCCCGGGTCTTCTTATATGGCGTATACAAGCGAAAGACTTAAGAAAATATTATGTTCAAGGCGCTTTGAACGCAAAAACTGGATCCGGCATAATGTATCGTAAATTGTGTTTTTTTACGGTTGAAAAGCAAAAAAATAATAATAATAAA